CTGTAATAAGAAACATGTTAATAATGTGGCAATGAAATCTCAAGATCCTTTGTTCATCCTTTTTGTTGCTCATTCCTTCATCTTCAAGTCCTACAAACTTCACACGCATTCAGTAATTCAGAAAGTTCATCAGTTTTCCTTCCACGATGCTTCTTACTTCAAGGGAAGTTTTTATATTTTAAGAGTCCTATAGGTAGTCCACCCATAGCACTTAACTTTCCATCCATCAAACTTAGCTTTTGAATGTACAGAGTCTCCCAAAACCTGGCCCCAATTTGATTTTCAATTTTTTCATTAGTGTCTACTTCAATAAAAGTGAACTGTTTGCTTTTTCAGGTCAAATAAAAATTTCTTATTTCTCTCATCATTTTCATACTATTTGCTCTGATCAGGAATGACCTATTCTTCTGCCTTTTGAATTCTTGCATGCATCTGTTAAATCTCATTTAGTGAATTTCTGAAGTCTACACAGTATGCTTCAAATTCTACAGCATTTTAAAACTAGCCAATTATTTTAAAAGTTATGTATTAGTCAGTAGTGTCATTTTGCTTTCAAAGATGCCTTACACAGAACCATATACATATATGTACATAAATAAGCACAGATATGTGTATCATATAAATATATAATGTTTTACTTGGATTTATTTATTTCATATATTCAGAGTGGTAAGATTTATAAAGTCAGTCATTAAGACTGATGAAGACTCAATTCAAAATTGATTATGAATGGTAGATATGGTCTGATATTGGTTCTTAATATATTAGTATTCTATTTTTGTCAAATAGCACTTGCAAATTACTAATGTCTATATATAATTTTAAGCTATAATATTTTATGATTCATTGTATCACTTCCAGCAAATATACCAACAAATGAGAATCTTAGAAAACACATCGTAATAGTGCATAAAAACAAGTGAAGGTAAAAGTTACTGCTGGATTCACTGTGTTAGAATTCATTATACAATATGCTTGAGTTAATTTTAAAAATACATTTTTTATTTTACAACACATTTAGATTTATAGAAAGTATGAAGAGAGTACAGGGTTCCCATATATCTTACATTCAGTTTCTCCTTGTTACTGATGTCTCTTATTGATATGGTAAATATGCTATAAGGAAGGATCCTACTTTGATACATTAAAATTAACTAAAGTTTGTACTATATTTACTGAAGTTTACTTCTCTATGTAAGTGCATTAAGCTAAATGAATATAATTTGAGTAAAATTGTAGAATTATTATAATACCTAGGGTCGGGGATTTAGCTTAGTGGTTCCGCTGCCTACCTTGCAAGTGCAAGGACCGGTACAAAACAAAACAAAACAAAACAAAACAAAACAACAAGAACAACAGCAAAACACCAAAAAAACCAAAAACCAAAACCAAAACCAAACCAAACAAAACAAAACCTCTCTGGATATTTTTTTTTCTGTGGAATGAAACAAAACCAGTTATTTTCTCTTTTGGTTTCATGGGTTTTCTCTGTCATCTTAAGTCTACTCTTCCTTTTTCAAATTATGTTTCTCAATAAAGAATTACTTCATTTTTAATTCTTTAAATAAATTACTTTGTTTAAATCCTCATGCTTATATTGCTCTGTGCTTATAGGTTCTCTTTTTCTTTTTGTCCAGCTATTGGCATTTGATTAATCTAAAACACAAGGTAAAATACTTCTATTCTGTTTCCATTCCTAAAGCTGCTAAAAATCAGTCTATAGTGCTTTTAAAATTGCATCTTTCCATTATCAAGTGAAATAATCATATATACATACATATATATATATATATATATACACACACACACATGTATATGTGTATAGCAGTATATTTATATAGTGTATATTGAAATTGAATTAAACCATTGCAGCTATGAGCATTTTAGGTGATTATTTTAGGCTTTATAATTTAATATTACAATTAACATTGCTATGGAAATAATTGATTCAATAAAATAAGTAACATGATTTCTTAAGCACTTTGATCATGAGATTATACTCATATTTAAGTGTTGATTTTGTTACTCAAATAGCCTCATTTTTATTTAAATTGCTAATAGTTTACAGCTTTTTAATATTTCTACCAGTAGAGAAAAGAGAGTATCATACTCCATTTTGTCTATATGATTTTGATTTCTAGCAGACAAAGTTAATTCCAGAATGTCTAGTAAAGTTTCCTTTTTTGGTAGAACTAATTACCTTGGTAAATCTTTCTTCATTTTAGATAGTGGAATTATGATAAAATAGTTGCATAACAATGCATTAAAGTGAAAGTAATAAATTGTTTACATGTGGATTTCAATTGAAATTTTAACCCTCTAGTTCAATATTATTCAATTAAAGTATATTGTGAATAGAAAAAGGTTTGTAAACTTGTTAGTAGTTACTAGTTTTCCTTGTAACAGTAGTTATTGACATTTATGCACTAGCTAACTTTTATTGATTTCTTATTCATCATCTTATTTAATCCTGACAGAAATCCATTTCATTGTAAGTAAAAACATTATCTTTATTTACAGCTAAGGAAGCTGAAAGTCTGAATGATTAGGGGTTTAGCTAAGATTTTAGACCATTTATTTTGCAGAAGAAAACAAGAACTAAAATCTCAAAGGAACTCTGGGATACATTTTTCCTAGAAACAAACTCTTCATTATGTGAACATTTAATATTTTCCATAGCATATGTCAGATTTGATAATGTAAAAAATCTCTTTTCCTCTAATATTTAGTCAAGTTGTAAAAACAAATGTGATTCTACTTTTTTGTCATTTTCCTCCTTGTTCTCATTGATAAGGAGACTAAAGAGTAGTGATGTACTGAAGTGTTGCATGTAGAAGATTAAAACAAAGCAAATTTAGAGACATGAATTATGGAGAAAAGTTTACACAGGTTGTAACTAACCTATTAAGTCCATAATTGAGGTTGAAATAAAATAGTGGTAGCAGGATAGTGAGGATAACCCTGTTCATAATAGCCAGGATATGGAATGAAACCAGGTTTCCATTCAGGGATGAATGGATAAGTAACATGTGGTACAGAGTGAAAACCAAATAGCTTGCAGCAGTAAACAAAAATGGAATCCTATTATATGCAGCAATGTGGATGGGACAGAAAGATGTTATGTCAGTGCTGGCGTAAACACTTATATTGCATGATCTTACCTGAGGAAACACAATAAATTTATCTCTTCGAAGTGGAAAGTAGATAGTGACTACAGAGACAAAGAAGGGTAGGGAGGAGCAGAAGTGGAGAAAGATTGGTGATTCAGTACAGAAATAGAGGGAGGAGAATAAGTTTCAGTGTTTTATAGCACAGCAGTTTGACTGTAGTATATAATAATTTATTGTGTATTTTAAAATAGCTCAAAGAATGGATTTTGAATGTCCCCAAACAAAGCAATAATAACTGTTTCATATTATTTCTGGTCTAATTACCCTGATTTGATATTACATATTACACACTTGTGTCAAAATAATACACAGTGCAAAATAATTATGTAAAGTTAATACATATCAATTAAAAATAGTGAAAACAAGACAATTAAAATGGTGCAGGTTTGACATATATATAGTGAGAATTTTCTTCAGAAGCAGTTATAGGAAGTGAGGGAAACTGTGTAATTGAGGAAAGCCACTTAAGGTACTCTTCCTCAAAACAGAGTGGCAGTGGTACTTAGGTAAAATAAGGAGGGAGTATAGTGTTGCACTTTTATTAATGCAAGCTTCATTTCTTACCTCTACTCTCATTTGTTATACCCTTATCTAAATTTAAAATGTGATTTCTCTACCTGTTTTTCTTTCTTTGAGTCATCTGTTACATTGGAAAAGGGAATAATTTCAGAGACAATCTTCAGAAAGATAATTTATATGTCGGTAAATGCTGGAAAATATGCAAAGATCACCAACACGATGTAGAAAGTTAAAAAATAAAGCAGGAGAAAATACAGAAAATGAAGACAGAGAAGAAAAGTTGGTGCTTCAGTAAATGGATCAGGTATTTGAGGCTGAATCACCAGAAGTTCATTTCCAGCTTCTCTGGCATCAGGAACTACTTCTCCCAGCACGAAGTTTAGCACGTGAAATCCACCGGACATTGCTACATACAGTAGTGAGATAGCTGACTGGCCTTATGTTGGAACAGTCTGGGGAAGATCTTGGAGGTAATTTGTGTTTCAGATAAAGAGTATGTCAAGGAACAGGAAAAATTTGAGGTGCAAACAAAAGCTGTATGCTTGAGGAGGAGGCAATGAGGTGTTGCTTTTCAGCTGACCAGTTCGTGCCACTATGGAGAATAATAAGTTGTGTAGTTTCCCATTACCTATTCAGTACAAATTGTCAGTTTTGCTACTTGAGAGAAATTATGGACTTAATTTAAAAAAAATTGCCTGCTCCCTGTACAAACTGACTAATAAATTCAGAGAGCCTATCTTCTAAACACTATGTATCACACTGTGTGAGGGGCAAACAGGGACTAAACTCTGTCCTCATACCCCATCTATAGGGTACAGCATTCTACCTTACGTACAGAGCCAATTTTCAGGGCCGGGCATTTGGCTCGGTAGTTCTGCTCGCTGCCTCACAAGCACAAGAGCCCGAGTTGACATTTCTACAAAATTCTGCTTTAAAAACATTTAAAAAAACTACATTCTTGAATTTTTCCTAAATATCCACAAAGGATTACTTTACCTCTTTTTTGATCTTTTGGCGATAAAAATAATATAGGCCACTTGCTAATCATACATAAAATAGAGAATCTTTTAAAATTCAGAAAAATTAAACATTTTGAAATTTCTATGATGCAAAGAAATAATGAATATTTCATCAATAATGAGAAAAATTTAAAATATCTTCTATTAGCTATTTTGTTATTTAGTTACATATGTTGATCTAAAACAGATTATTGAAACTACCCAGTCATATAAATGACTTTTGTATAGTTACATGCATACTTTGTTAAATTTTCCATTAAAGAATAAAGTATTTGGTAAAAATGTCACTAACCTCTATGGGAAAGCAGTTTGTCAAATGATTCACCCCATTTCACTGCTTCTTCAGGGGAGACACTGTTCAAGAAACAAAATGTTTTATAGTGGAGTGTGCAGTGAGTCTGCTTATGAATCTGTTCAAACATATGCTAAATTACTGCTCTTTTCAGTTTTTTTGCATGGTTTGTCTTTTGATTTTTATATCATGAAAGTCAGACATATAGGAAACTTCAAAATAATTGGTCAATTTTCTTTTGAAACTTGCCTATTGAACAATGTGTTAACAGGATGGATTTCCTCATGGGTGTAATTTTTTTAAGGAAGAAGATAATTATGCATTAAATTAAGCATTTCTAGAGCAAATAAAAAATGAATCAGTCAACTATGTTTATTTCAGCAGTTATGAATACCTAAACTTATAAAAAGTATCCTTCAGTCAAACTTTTTTCCTGGAATCTCCGTGAAACTCTAATCATAGTATGCTGCATTTTAAAAAACAGATACAGGATATTTAAAGAAGTTTCAAAAGGTTATGAAATATAAAAGATTTTTAAAAATTCAACAAATATTTTAGCAATGTTAATAATGTAGAAAATTGAACATTTTCCTGGATCTTTTCATATTCAAACTTTGAAGGTTTGTATTAAAATAGTATAAAGGTAAGGCTATTCTATTTTGTTTGTATGAAATGCTAAAAATATAAAATATCTTTTAGTTCTGCATTATTGAACTAAGTGCATTTTTCAAACAACTGAGGAAAGAGATGGATAGCTCTTCTATGAAATTTCATTGTGAAAAGAAATTAGATTACATGAAGTAAAATATAGTGTTTAAAATTGACATGTATATATTTTAAAGACCTAATTTAAATATTCATGTATTTATTTAATTCAAGCCATTAGTTTTTAAATTTTAAAATTAATCCTAGTTTCTCAAACTGAGACCTTACTTTCCTTATATCACTGGGTAAATTCCAATAAAATATAAATCCCTAGTTTCCTTTTTTCTCAAACTTTAATTACAGAATTAGTCAAATCTCCCCCTGAACAGAAAAAGTTATTCACCTTGTTTCTTTGGCCAAGGGCCCAGATCTACTGGAGTGGGTCTCTTCATGTAACTCAGCTTTCTGCACGAGAAGACTTAGCCTGTTTCTTTTCTCCTTAGCTCTGTAAAAAACAGCACTAACTTCAGATCAATTTATGGGACATGTAAAATTTTTTCTTCTGCCTTCCAAACAAGTCTGGAATTGGTAAATACCCACCCACACACTCACAAATACACCCCCACATGCACATGCACAATCCTTTTTGAATAATATTTAAATGTTATGTTTGCAGAGGAATCAGGAAAGCGTATGTTACATGTTTCTTTTTTGCTTCAGGACAGATAAATACTTGAGATTATATTTCAACCAAAATTAGTCTTGTTCTTTGTGTGGGTAAAATTGTTATACTTATAAAAAAGGAGAACTCTTTAGATTTAAGAGTTGTTTACTCCTAATAAATTTTTTAAAATTATTTTCATTTTTGCACTGGAACAATTATTTTCAGCCATATATTTCAAAAGTAAGTGCTAACAAATAATTCAACATCAGTCACCTTTTAAAAAGCATAAGATGGATTAAAATGTATAATTTTACCTGCTTTTGGCCTCTTTGCTGGTTTCTTCTTTTCCTGTGCCATGTATGAGCTTGAAGAAAGTTTTTTCTTTTGATTCACACATATTTAAGTGAGAAAATGAATGATGTTTCCATTTTCTACCTCCAAAATACGGAGGCATCTAGTTTATTGCACTGTTCTATAGTTCATAGGTTAATGCTATACCATAGTTATAAATGATAGAATAAAAAGCTGTCTCAACTCTATCCGCAATGCTCACACACATGCACGCACACACACACACACACACACACAGATACACTCAAACACACAGACACATACACACAAGTCAAGAGCAGAAATGGAGAACTAAGGAACTGAAGTGCAATTTTGACCTAAGCTATTTAGGGAAATGATATTACACATTTTCAAAATGACTCTTGGTCACTAAGATAAAGACTGGTATTACCACAATGCAACTTCTCTTTCAAGTTTGCGCAACCAGAATGATTCATTAATAGACACTGTCATTTCCCTTAAGAACTTTCAAAAAGTCTTTTAATGTGTACTAAAATGTGTTGTGGAAAATTTTATATCAAACATTAAAAGACATTTTCTCCTATTCCACAAAATATAATTTTATTTATTTTTAGGATTACGTTTCATTCAGATGATGTTATTTAGTCTCAATTATATTTGCTTAACATAGTGAATCAAAATAAGACTACTAATAAATGTTTTGTAATTGAGAGAAACAAGATAAAGAAATCAATTCAGTAATTTCTAACTATGAATCCAAAGAAAGATTCTAGATATTTTTTGAATTTTTATTAGTATGCAGCACAGTGGAAAAAACAGTATGTAATATTTTTGTTTCAAAACTCTACTCGTGTTTTTTTTTCACATTTTTGATTACACATTTGTAGTACATGATGTCTACATTCCTCTTGGGAAATTGGTTCGTATGTGTAAAACATCTTAATTTGTTTTATCCCTTATCCCCTCTCCACTTCTTCCCTCCGTCCACCTCTTAATCTTCTTTCCTTTTTTGTACATGTTTGCAGCACACAATGTTTATATTCCTTGTGTGCAACTGGTACATATACATAACACATCTTAATTCTTTTCACCCCCTTTTCTCCCCTCCATCAATACTCTTATTTTTAAAATATGAAATAAATTTTTCTATTTAAAATTGTCCTCTTGACTATTTGGTTAAAAATATATTTTCAATGAAATGTTTGAATTAGAGATGAAAATTTGTGTTTTGGCTTATGTAAAGAAAAATTCACGAATCCAAATTTGTTCATCCTCCACTTTTATCGTTGTTCATTGAAATCCAAAAGTCTGAAAAATACTGGTCTAGTCTATAATTCACCAAGGTTCACCCATATTAAGTGATTCATTTCTGCAAAGTCTGAGAGAGGGAGCAGTGGAAGATCTGGAATTAACAGAGCCAACAGCATGTGCATTGGTCTTTCCAGGAGCCTTTGATTTCCAGTAATGAATTATTTCATTCACCTAGAATTTTATGAGTTAAATACCCAAACTCTGCACTATAAATATTATTTTATTTGCAGTCTTTTTGAATTTTTTAATTTACCAAGACAATAGTTATCAGGAATAGCAAATTGGAGTTCAAAACATTTACTAATTTAAAACTTAGTACATATGTATACATGTAGCCTCCTGATTCTATGACTTACTTGGACATTTGTTTAAATTTTTCACCTTGGATGTTAAAAATAGTATATATGACAGCATTTTATGGCAAGTTTATCTAGAGCTGGACACTAAGAATGTACGTTGTTTTTCTCTCCTGATTATTTCCTAATAGTTTTTAACATCCTTATGTTTATATGAATCTGTTGATTCATACAAGCTGACAGTCAAGATCAACAGGAACAAATGGTATTTATTCTACTTAGGATTTATTGAACTTCTTAGACTTGTGCATTTATAGTTTTCATCAAAGTTGGAAATATTTAGGTGTTAGATTTTCATTTGTTTGTTTCTCTCTCTTTTACCTCTAATCCCTTCTTTACAGGTATGTAGCTTCCTAATATTTCCATTGGTCTCTTAGGAACTATTCAATTTTTTTCAGGCTCTTTTCTCCCTGATTCTGTTTGTATAGCTTCTATTGCTGTGTTTTCAGGTTGACCATTATTTTCTTTTATTTTTCTGTTCTTTTTTCTTTAATCTGGTAATCAGCTCATCCAGTAAATTTTTCATTTTACCTCTAAAGATTACATTTTTCTTATAGGTCCCATTTTGTATTTCTACTATTCTTTTTAAAAAGTGTCTGAATGTGTTTATAACACCTATTCTGAACTTCTTTTCCAAAAATTCATCTTTGTTAACTGAGTCTGGTCTTATTCCCCAGTTTTCTTTGTAATGACTTAGGACACACTTTCATGCTCCTTCAAAAGTCTAGTTAGGTTTTACTAGGAATTTTGAATTATAGTATGTTACATATTCAACTTTTATTAATCTTCATTTAATGATGGTGAAGCCATTCTTGGTCACAGTCATTTGTGCGTCAACTTTTGTCTTTAAGGACTATTTTAAGTTTGTGATGGTAGAGGCTAGAGTAACCTTAGTTACCAATAAAATCTCCAATGAATTTCTAATCTGTTCAGTCATTTCTAACCTGGATATTAAGAACCTAAAAGTCCCATGTAAGCTCTGCAGATGGTAGCCATATTTTACCAGTACTCAGAGTTTTAATCCTGTATGGAGCTGTTTGCAATATATATAATCAGAATCAGAGATACTCTTGGATACTTTTTACTGTATTATTTCTAGTACATAATCCTGCAAGTTTCAGCCCTCTTGATCTCATTGAACTTTCAATCATCATGCTTTTCTCAAGTCAAAATAGTACTATTTACTCAATTTAAAAAGGAGTCTTTCAAAGTTCTAAGTCGATAAGGGAGATATAGATACCTTCCTGTACTCTAGTCTTAAGCAAATGTAACTGAAGATATATAGATTAGTTGTGTTAAGGATCACAGTTTTATGATGCCTATTTTCAATATCTTTAAACAATTGTAATACACATTTTTCCAGATTTAAATTGATTTTGAATTTAAAGAATGTTATATTAGTTCATCCCTCATGATCATGGCTAGCTTTCAAAAAGTATAATTTAAATTATATGTTACATTTAACAGCATAAGACATATATCATAGAAATATAATTCTATACTTTTGTAATATATAATTATGATATCTATATAATTATGAATAATGTCTAATATAGTAATCTATTACATAATTAAAATTTCTATGTATTATACCCTATTACATTATATTACTTTATTATTATTATAGTTCATATAATTGCTCTTGATTTCTAATTGAATTTCATAAATTTTATAATAGGTGTAATTCTTTATAAATAGCATTAGTCCAAATATTCTTTCCTAAGGTTATAATTCCAAATTATTTCCTAGTTTTTTTATTATTGATTTTTTGACTCAAGTATTCTGAGTTGAGAAGTGAATTCCTGGTTTTCTTTTCCTTGGCATTAGAAATTAAGAACTTCGAAAATGAGGTTAGAGTTCAAATATATTTTTTGTGCACATGTGCATTTATGTAATTATGGTTTACTTTTCTCACAATAAATTTATGTAGAACTTGAGATAATATATTTCTGAATTTTTATTTTTATGTAAAATTAGTTTTCTTATATTTTTAGGATGAATCAAGCTTCAGTGAAGCTTTTTAGCCTTAGTTTATTTAATTTCAGTAACCATAATGGTGGTAGTATTAGTAGTATTATTTAGAGAATGAAGTGCTTGTTCTAATTTATCATTTGCTATGTATTTGAGAAGCAAATTCTTAATGTGAACAAAAAGACATACAGATACAAGTGAAAATTATTTAAAAGTTTTATCTTTAAGTTTGATCACAACATGTATATATATATATGTGTGTGTGTGTATTCAGTAACCATAATGGTGGTAGTATTAGTAGTATTATTTAGAGAATGAAGTGCTTGTTCTAATTTATCATTTGCTATGTATTTGAGAAGCAAATTCTTAATGTGAACAAAAAGACATACAGATACAAGTGAAAATTATTTAAAAGTTTTATCTTTAAGTTTGATCACAACATGTATATATATATATGTGTGTGTGTGTATGAATATTTCCTGCCTTTTTACAAAGAAGAAAAAGTAAGTAATGCAGCTGCAATGAGACTAAGATTGTCATCTTGAATAGTCTGTCTTCACTCAAAGCAACCCAGATTTAATGGCGACATTGCTGATTGTAGGTCTCAGACAGGAAACGTACAAGCTGAGCCTGGCAAATTTTGTCATGCCAGTTCATAAAATAGCTACAAAATTATAGAATAAATTTAAAATTATTTAGGAGCCAAATCCTTTAGTCATTCATTAGCCAAAACAAGTAATTTTATTTTGATAATTACAATGGTTAAATAGGTCAAATGTATTTATATTGAGTACATTATGACATTACAGGACAACTGTCCACTTCTACAGAATTATAGAAGCTAATTGATTTTCATGAAAATTGGCTAGTAAAGGCAAAAATTAAGCAAGTATTCTTCATTTTCTATTAATTATGCTATGTGTAAAAATTAAGTTGATGAGTTGAAGTGGTTCTTTATAAATTTTTTCTAACAAATGAATAAAAATGAAAAATAGTATGAGAATTTTATGTTTTTAACCTCTTACAAATAATTAGACATAGGCATTAATTTTAGTCATTTATAAGGTCACCGAGAGAAGACACTTTTTCTTCTATGTGCTGCTTAGAATGTGCTGAAGAGACCAAATTTGCTTCTGATGTTTTTTTCTCAACCTCAAAACCAATTGTAAGGAACAGCAGAGGGTAGAGAAACCATGTAACTGCTCCTTGAATGTGCACTCTCCAAGAACTAGACTGTGGGGGAAGTTTATGCCTGTGTATGAGATGAACTTTAAGGAAAATAAGATGATTGAAATAAGAAGGAACGAGATCTCTGTGGATTTAATTAAAGATATCAGTCTGGAAGCCAAATACATATTCACACGTGAAGGACTGATTCTCTAATGAGTGCCATCTGAAGGTCTGAAGGTTTACAGTTTTCTTGGAAATCCAAGTTTTGCTAGAGATCCAGTAGTCAAAAATCAACACAATATTTTACTACTGTTTTGAGACTTAATTGTATATATAATATGAGGCAAGGCGACTTGAAAGGAACTAAGAAAACTAATTAACCCTCTTTTCCCTCACTTATCCCAAAACTACTGTTAGTCATAGTAATTTGGTTATTTTTCATTCCAGCAACCTAGTGCAAATATGGATAATGTTTGGTCTTCTGAAAT